CATTATATTATTTTCCATACAATTATAAACCTACTTTTGCCCCACCCTTTATATTACATTGATTATAATAAGAAATGTCTTTTTGTACTACCATTTTCAAGTTTTAGGGGACTCCTGGAATAATTACAGTATAGTCAAGAATCAATAAGAGCAGGCCAAGAACCAACCGATTAAGCATCAATTTCTACCCTCTTAATGTAATAAAAAATAGAATTCTAGGATTGAAGAGAAATTATGAAAGCAGAGTTTACTAGTAGAAAGAAACACAAAAACAAACAGAAGGAAATCAGAGAGATAGGTCCTAGAAGCAAGAAGTTGGGATGGTCCTGGCCGGTGTGGCTCAGTTGGTTGAGCACCTCTGCACAGAGAGGTCACAGGTTCAATTCTCAGTCAGGGCACATGCCCAGATTGCAGGCTCAGTACCCAATAGGCTGCATGCAAGAGGCAGCCACATCAGTGTTCCTCTCTTTCCCTCTCCCTTCTTTCTTTCCAAAAATTAATATAATCATATTTTTAAAATAAAAAAAGCCCAGTTCTGCAGCCATATATCCAAAATTATGCATGTTGGGATGAACCAGGTATGATTTTTGTCACATGTTTGAATTTCATTTTCATAATAATTTCAATAATGATACTTTTAGTTTATTGGGTATACATCAATAGATAAATAGATACTAAAGAAGAAAAAAATCCAACAGATTATGTTTAATGCTAAATTTTTAAAAAATCCTTTCCAATAAGATATCATCATACATTTCACATGTAAGGAAGTTATTGGCCTAACTACCTTACTAACACAGATCCTAGGGAAAAAAATAAATCTAATGGCAATTCAGAAATATTCCATAAAGTCAGTAACACACTGCTACTATTATAGGCTCGGTCCTACATGCAGGAGGCAGCCAATCAATGGTTCCCTCTCATCATTGATATTTCTATCTCTTCCTCTCCTCTCAGAAAATATATTTTTAAAATGTTTTTTAAAAAAGTATTTCCATTTGTGAACTATAAAGCATAATTATGCATTATACTATATCAAATAGTAACAAGTAGTAAAAAAAAAAAAAAAAAAGTAGTTTATTTTCCCTTAACTCACTGTGATATTTTATATTTCTTTTTAAGTTTTCCAATCTTAAATGTATAATTTATACCAGAGGATGGTATCAAACCTGGGACCCTTGAGTTCAAAGGCCGATGCACTATCCACTGAATCAAACCGAACAGGGCTCATCTTTTTTTAAAATATGTATTATACAAATTATCTTCTTTAAAGGTTTAGGGAAAATGCAAAAATAGAATAAAAAATAAAAACATATACTTTTGTCCAATATGTTTTTTAAATTATTTATAAAATTCTTGCAAAAGTATATTTTATTTACTTACTTTATTAAAAGTTTCATGCATAATTATGGGGTCATCAGAAACATTATTTTAATGGCTATGATTGCATTAAATAGCTAGACTTCTGCCCTGCCAGTGTAGCTCAGTGATTGAGTGTTGACCCAAGAACAAGAGGTCACATTGGTTTGATTCCCAGTCAGGCACATGCAGGTTTTGGGGCTCGACCGATACATGTTTCTATCTCTCTATCCTTCTCCCTTCCTCTCACCCTAAAAATCAGTAAAAAAACATATTTTAAAAAATAGCTAGACTTTCCTTTTCCCACTGTCAGGCAATTACCAAATTAAATTTAAAAAGTAGTAGCAGCCGAAGCCGGTTTGGCTCAGTGGTAGAGCGTCGGTCTGCGGACTGAAAGGTCCCAGGTTCGATTCCGGTCAAGGGCATGTACATTGGTTGCAGGCACATCCCTGGTAGGGGGTGTGCAAGAGGCAGCTGGTCAATGTTTCTCTCTCATCAATGTTTCTGACTCTCTATCCCTCGCTCTTCCTCTCTGTAAAAAAATCAATAAAATATATTTTAAAAAAAGTAGTAGCATAACTATGTATGGTGACTTAGTTAACAGACATTGTGGTGATCATTTTCCAACATATACAAAGATTTAATCATTGCAATGTACATCTTAAAACAACACAATATTATATGTCAACTATGCCTTAATTTTAAAAAATTTATCTTTAAGAAAAAAAAGATAGTAGCAAGAAAGACTAGCATTGCCCTGGCTGGTTTGGCACAGTGGATAGAGGGGTCACAGGTTCGATTCCAGTCAAGGGCACAGGCCTGGGTTGCAGGCTTGGGTCCCTGATGGGGGGCTTGCAGGAGGCAGTTGATCAGTGATTCTCTCTCATCATTGATGTTTCTATCTCTCTCTTCCTCTCTCTTCTTCTTTGAAATCAATGAGAATATATTTTAGAAAAAAAGAAAGACCAGCATTCATATGGAGGATAAATGCAAATTTAATTAAATGGTAAAGAAATTTTAAACCCATTTTTAAAGCTTAATAACACCCAATTGCAGTTTCCAATCTTATTTTCCTAAAGAAAGAACTTAAATTTGGAAAAAGTATGCACTGTATAGATAATTGATGTTTAAAATGTTTTAATTTAGCCAACATTTTTTGAGCACTTACTACGGTATATGCTGGGTTAAATGCTTTACATAAATTTGCCTCAACAACAACCTTGATGAAAATACTATTGTTGTACCCATTTTTAAAAATATATATTTTATTGATTTTTTACAGAGAGGAAGGGAGAGGGCTAGAGAGTTAAGAAACATCCATGAGAGAGAATCATCAATCAGCTGCCTCTTGCACACCCCCTTACTGGGGATGTGCCTGCAACCAAGGTACATGCCCTTGACTGGAATCGAACCTGGGACTCTTCAGTCCGCAGACCGATTCTCTATCCACTGAGCCAAAGCGGTTTTGGCTGTTGTACCCATTTAAAGATGAGAAAATTAAAGCACAAAAAGATGAAGAAAGTGACTAAGCCAAAGGCACATACAAATGTTGAAGCAAGGTTTTGAACCCAAATCTGGCCACATGGCCTACAATTTTAACACAGATTAGAAATAACACTATAAACTAGAAGTAGTAGCCTTCTGCTCTACTACATCTTAAAAAGGGAGCAGGGGAGACATGAGAGACTTTGCTAAAATAAACTAGAAACACATTTCCTGGACTAAAAGAAAAAGTACTCATGTATGAAATGATATGATGTCTGGTATAGCTTGGGGAAGGAGAGAGGATAATAGGAACAAGAGTAGATATCGATTAGTAACTGTTAAAGCTTGGTGATGGGTATATGAGGATTCATTATTTTATTATCTCTACTTTTGTGTATTCTATAAAATGTCCATAATAAAACATTAAAACTAGAAATTGGTTGCATAGATTAAATACTTTCATTGCATAAGCGAACAATTTTCTTATGATAACCTATATCAAAGATATAAAAAAAATGACACACTTGATATTTATATATTTTACATATCATCTGTAAAAGGATGTCTTAAAAATTTGTGTAGCCTCTCAACCAAAATGAAAAAGTAATTAAAGTATTTAGGTACAAATATGTAAATATACATAATAGACGGTTGTCTGCATTTCCACCAACCTGTTAAAAATATTTGCTTAAATAATTAACTTTTTTTTTTTTTCATCTTTCTCCTGTCTAATCTCCATCACTATGACACTCTCTGGTTTGTTGCCCAGAGAATGGATGGGTTTGTACATACAAACATGACTCTACAACATGGTCACAAATTGAACAATATGAACAAAATCCAGAAATCTGCTTCACTAAGAAACACTAATAATTCCTCATCTAATAATGTAGTTGATTTTCATACTAATATTTATCTATGGGCTTCTTGTAATTAAAAACATAATTAATAATTTGAGAACCTTTTATATGCAATAAATATTTTCGTACACTTAGCTCACTAAATTTAAGTGATTATATATATTTTTATGGATAGACTATTAAAGTTTATAGAGATAAAATTACTTGCCAAGGTCACAGAGCTAATAAATAGTCAAAACTGATATTCAAATTTAAGCTCAATTACAAAACTCATATTTTTCTCCATTATACCAGACTACCATATAGAAAGCAAACACCTACACTTAAGTCAAACTTAAATATTTAGGGCCTTTTTTAAGTGGGCTACAAAATGTTTAAGAATTTGACCCCCACCCCCAAAGGGCACGGTTACATATATATTGTATAAAGGTGGCTTGGCTTTGAGTAAAGAGCACCAACTAAAATATAAAAAGCATGATTTCTGCTACTGTATGATTTCCCCTGCCTCCCCAAGTCTCTTAATTTCAGTCTTAGGTTACTCATCTTTACAATGGGGAAATGAATATCCTTACAGTCCAATTCTAGGATTATAAAAGTCAAAGATAATATTTGTGAAATCACTTCAAAAACTATAAAAACAACATAAATAGAACCTTTTTTTGTCTTAAATTGCTTAAAGTTTTCTGAAGTAATTTGGCAGTTGTTTGAATTATTCTGCATAGTCTATTAATGTTTCCAGAATGTTCTAAAACCCTTTCTTCTAAACCTAGTTTTATCATCATCTCTATTACTTGGTTTTCCTCATCTTTAAAAATAATGCAATAGTAATGACATCAATGCTTTTGTAATAAATAATATATCGTTTTGAAATACTTAGCATATAAAAGTTGTGAATTTTCAAACTAAATATGTATCTGGTGTCACTCAGTTGTATTCATGATCTTGTTTGATCTTTTTCATATTCAGTTTATTTGTAAAAAGCTATTTATTAATATCTGGAATTTTAAGGTATAACACCCAACACATAGTAATTTTTAATGATTTTGTGTGTCGGGTGCTGGGGGAATAAAAAGGAGTTCAAGGCTTCTCAAAGCAGATATAATAGCTAACAATCACATCAAACACAGGAACAAAATCCACTGAAACATTCAGCTGCTCTAAAAGAAGGATCAGGCTCTTTAGGAGAAAACTACATTGTATGAGTCTGCAAAGTTTCACACTTTCTCCTTTAAACTCCATTTCAGAGAAAGCCTTTGCATACTCACACAATATGCTTTAAAATGGCATTCTGCTGACCTTCCAATAGTCCAGCTCTATGAAAATTCTGGGATGGGTGTAACTTCAGAGAATCTGAAAAACACAAAAAGCATTAAGTACTTTTTATGCTGAATGACTGAAGAAAAAAAAAAAAAAAAGCCAAGGATAGCATACATCTCTTATATAACTGCCATGTACTTTTAAGAGCTAAAGCCTGTATTTGTGAATTTACTGTAGATGAAAGAAGGCTGAATTGCGTCTACAGTGGTCTCTATGCTAAACTTAGATTTTCATAAAACTTGTGTTCCACAGAAAATTATCTGACGATTACCCTACAAATTAGTGTTAATGCCTTGACTTTATTCAGTACCCAACTGTACCGCATTTGCCCTAACTCTTAAGAATCATCTCTTGGTAATGCCTTCAGACCCTCAAAGCTACAGTTTCAAACTCCTTCAGGTAACACTGCCCAAAAATACACTTTTCAGGATGGTAACTGCCAACCAAAGTCATCACAGCAACAGACAATAGTTATAGTTACTAAGTAGGACTCCGTGTACAAATTCAATCGTCAGTCTACCAAGTCCAATACCTTCCGGAGTGCACCATCTCACTCCGATTCGCTTAAGCAATGTAAATACACTAATGTGCGTGCAGGTACCCCTCCCTGGAAGGGGTGAAATCAGCAGATGAATACATCAAACCAAAACCTAAGTGGGAAGAAACGCCGAATTTCTCAGGAAGAAGGCTCCTAAGGGCACGCAATTTTTTTAAAAAATACGGTGAGATCGATAATTACTAACCCAGTTATGTCTTTTTATTGCCCCCTCGCCCCGCCATGGTATAAAAAAAGCGATGAAGAATGCCGTGAGGGGGGGGGGGCATTTTGGTTTGATGCCTCTTGTGCAGGGAACCTGTTCTAACACATTCTTGTGGTGTCCAGTATAGGAATTTAAACCTCCGTGGAGATGAGCTGAAGTATTTAATATAATATCTTAGACCCTCTGAACCCCCTTCAGGCTTTAGCCAAAAATAAAAAATAAAAAAAAATTAGAGTTTTTAAATGGAAATCTCGGTCCAATGGCCCCCCTCCCGGCACCACCGAGCCCTTGGAACGGCAACGAAATAGAAAATTCTCAAAGGACGGCAGCGCCTATGCCTGAGCTGACACCTCTGGGACAGGAGAGGAATAAAAGTCATAGAAAGAGGGGGAGATAGAGAAAGAGAGAGAGAGCACCCCTATTTTGCGCAAAAAAGAAGGGGGACAAGTAAGCCATGAGGATGCCACAGAGGCGGAAAGCGAGAGGAGGCTGACGAACCCGGGCCCCTTCCAGCAACGTGACGAGGGAAGGCACGGCGCCGGGCCGAGGGGGCCGTCCCAGCGCAGCGAGGGGAGGGCGCGGACTAGGCCGGGGCGAGAGAAGGGGGTAAAAAAACAAAACAAAACAACAACAACAACAAAACGGCGATGCACAAACAATCTGGAGGGGCGGGGGGAGAAAATGGTGAGACCCTGCCCAGCACGGGCTCCAGGCCCCGCCGCCGCCGCCGCCGCCGCCGCCGCCGCCCGTGTGGGGGCAACTTGGCCGGGGAGGAGGGATGGATGGTCCTGGAAGGGGAGCCGGGCCCCACGCATCACGGCGGCCCCAGCGCCACGGGGCCCGGTCCGGGGTGATCCCCGAGCGGAGGAGGGGGGGTGAGGGAGGGAGGAGGCCGGCGCTGCCCGCTCCGGGAGTGAGTGCGCCGGGCAGGACGGGCGGAGGGAGGGACGGACGCTCGGAGCGGAGACCTGGGGGGCCGCCGGCTTTGGGGCCCGGAGCGGCCGGCGGCCAGCGGCCCCGCGGGGGAGGGGCCGCCACTCCTCCCCGCCGCCGCCGCCGCCGCCAACGTCTCCGTCTCCGGCCCCATCGGACGCTCCCGCCACCCCCCCCCCCCTTCCCCAGGTCAGGCCACCCCGGCCGGCCCCGGGCTCGGCGGGCGGCCCCTCGGACGGACGGGAGGGGGGGACCCTCGGGACCCCCCCAGGGCCGCCTCCCCGCCCCCACGCCCGGCCCCTCCGCCCCGCTCACCTCGCGAGTACAGGGACTTGGGCGACTCCAGGTCTAGGTCCGCGCTGAGCAATGAGATGAAGTCCGAGGGCATCGCAGCTCGACCCAGCCCGGCCCGAGGGCGGCGGGAGGGGAGCGGGGGGAGCGGGGGTGGCGGCGGCACCTCCTCTCCGGGACCGCGGGCACCGCGAACCGGGGGCGGCGAGGCGAGGGCAGCTGCCGCCGCTGCCGCCGCCGCTGCCGCTGCCGCCGCTGCCGCCTCCTCGAGGGCAGGGAGTTCCAAGCGGGCCGAGGACCGAGGAAACTGCGTCAGGGTGTGGAGGGGAAACACTCCACAGGGGCTCCGTGCCGGAGAGCCAGGAAAGGGGTTCAGTCAGGGCGGGGAGAGGGCGGAGGGGGAAGAGCCAACGGGTCCGTGTGGCGGTGGCTCTTCAGAGAAAACTGACGGGACGCCGCCGCCGCCGCCGCCGCCGCCGCCGCCGCCGCCGCCGCCGCTGCTGCTGCCGCTGCCGCCGCCGCTGCCCGCTGACAGGAATCTGAGCTCCGCCCCCCCCGTGGGCCACTGCGCAGGCGCGGAGGCGGAGGTGAGGGGGGGGGGAGCGCCAAAGAGGGGAAGAGCCGCGGCGGGCGGGCCCAGCGGAGGGTGGGGAGGCGCGCCGTGGAACAGCATCAACAAGGGCTTCGCTTCCTGCCGCTGGCTGCCGCCCGGGCTGCTGTTCCCCGGCCCGGAATAGGTCCCGCCGGCTGGGAGGGAGGGAGGGAGAGGAGGGAGGGACGGGGAGAGGGAGGCTGGGAGGTGTCCGCGGCTGGTGGCGGCGAGCCTGAGGCAGCCGGTGCAACACCAAGCAGAGCAGCGCTAGAGACAGACCTAGGGAGAGGCGAGGTGCCTGCGCAGCCAAAGAGCCAAAGGACTCCAGCCAAAGAGCCAAAGGACTCCAGAGCTGGCGTTGGCTGGGGCGGTGGCTTGGGGTCCCCGCCAGGGAATGGAGTGTTCGTCGTTTGGACAGTCACCAGACCCTCTGGGGTTCATAGCATTGTCTAAATGAATTGGCCAAAGGACTGTCACATTCGCTTCTTAATTAAGGAAATGGCAGATCCTAATTCTAAAAACCTCAAGGTGTTGGTTGTTTTTGATGAAAGTGGCCTTGACACCTTCCCTTGGCCTTCCCGGCCTCCCCCATCCCGCCCCCCATCCCGCCCAACCGCCTTAGAGGCTGAAGATTAAAACACGCGCACGCACACACAATAACAATAACAATAAAGATCCTTCTGATTGTGCTGGGGTGGCCTGGTTTATTCTGAGCGGGAGAGAGAAGACAATTTTAAAAATGGGATCATATGAATCCACCTGGCTGATTTAGAGAAGGGGAAAAAAGGGGTTTGGGGATACCTAAACACCACTCTTCCCAGCGGTTTTTTTTTTTTTTCATTTTGTTTTTTACTGTAGGACCAGGCAAGGATGGGAGAAGAGCACATTTAATTGAGTTTTTGCTATTCTGTTCATGGGGCCAAAAGTTTCCATTGCAAAAACTGAAAATCCTCACCTACACCGCAGACCGTTTCCTGAGTCTAATAGACTTCTGAGAAATTTTTAATCAAGCTATTAAGCTATCAATTGGAGTGCAGGGTATGCATGTTGGGAAATAATTTTAATCTGGTGTAGAATATTGATGCCAGCAGACACCTGGGCAAAGTTTTTTTTTATTTTAATACTTTACTGATAGTTACAAATCATTTAAAAAATGTCAAGATATATATCTATATCTGAGAGAGAGGAGGGAGGGCGCCTTTTCCCTGGAAGGTAGGCAATTCATCTGGACTTGGGGTGCTGGGGATGGGAGAGACACTCTCAGCAAAGACCCCAATGCAGGTGTTTCTGGGGTGAGGCCCTTTACAAAGCTTTACCTGCAGACCTAGAATTTAGACTTGTGTCATCACAGTCTACCCGTCTTTCTATCTGAACATCTGATTCGGGTTGCCCAATTATGTCCCTGCGTAGTCATTAGTCAACCCTATCAACATTTTTCTCCTCTCAGAGGTAAGAAAGCTTTTAGAGCCACCCCAAGATGGCAAAACAGCACAGAAAGCTACCTTCAAATATCATCCCCCAGTAAGCTGTTGTAATAAGTCTCAAGGAAAGTCCCATCCTAACTGGTCAGAGATGCACTCATTGGAGAGAGGAAGGTTTAAACCCCATATTGACCAAGAGGCCAAGGCCTAACCCAAGGCTTTTGAATCCGAGTAGGAGTAAACCTATCAGAAACCCACCCACTCCATTAGCCAACACATGATGCCAGAAGAGGAAATTGCAAGACGGAACCCCAATACTAAAAAAAAGTTGGATGAATCACCCTGAGCACATTCCTTTTCCCCAGACCTATGTAATCATTCAGCAAACTTAGGGTATAGGAAATCCCCAGATACTGTCTGACCCTAATTAAGAAGTCATGAATTTGGAAAGGCCTCTTCCTCTTTTTGTTTCCTAGTACTAATGCTTTATTGTATAAGTTAATCAGATTTTCCCCTAATTAACTAAGAGCAAAGTAAAGAGGGATCTCCCAAAGTCAGACTTGACCTGGACTGTGAATTCTCTTAGACGGAGGTTCTTTGGGCTCAGGCCCCACCTCATCAGGCCCTGCAACAAGCAGTGATTACACCTAAATATGTATTTAAAAATTCAGTGGTTTCCCCACCCCCTTCCCCATATCCTTTTACAGAGACATATTTAAAAAGACAAACAAAAAAACCTGCTTAGATGGATAGATTTCATGGCCATGTTTCGTGATAGTATAAAGACCTAGATTTTCATTTTGTCCTTAAAATTTCAGTGACTAAAAACATGAATTAATCAGTAAACAGTGTTTGCTCAGCTCTGATTACAAAATATGATATGACTTACATGATGTTGAGGGTTATCCAAAATAACTATCTGGCCAAGCCGGTGTGGCTTGGTGGTTGATCATAGACCTATAAATCAGGAGGTCTAGGTTCGATTCCAGGTCAGGGGCACACATCCGGTTTGTGGGCACCATCCACACTGGGGAGTGTGTGGGAGGCAGCCCATCAGTGATTCTCTCTCATCATTGATATTACTATCTCTCTCTCCCTCTCCCTTCCTCTCTGAAATCAATTTAAAAATTTTTTAAAAATAACTTCTGATCATTGTATCTTCAATAAATTACATTCTATTCTTGGTTCCAACATTATTTCCCTCTGTGGTAATTAATATCTCACTTACTTCCCCTTTTATATTTGAAATAGTCTCATGTTGTATTTTAAAAACCACCCCACCACCCAAACATATACCCTCATAAAACTTTCTCTGTACACAATAAAAACAAACACTTTGAGCCATAAAATTTGGAAATTTCCTCTCACTGGAAATCACAATAGGATTATGAAACAAAACGTAAAGCAAATTTAGCAGTTTGTAGAATTTCTTTATAATATTTCCCCATCATCCTATCACATTCCTGAAGCTACGATTAAAATTTCACAAGAACCCAGATTCAACTACAAGGTTATGTAGATTACACAATAGATGGGGAGTTTTTATGTCGGTGGTTGTGTTTTTTAACCCCTCCTGGACCTGTTCAGGCACTTAGTGAATTGTGTTGCTGGATCCACTCCAAATGAAAGGTTCAAATATCAACCAGGGAAAGGAATTAAATAAACTCAGCAGAGGAATGTGTTGTCACAAGATCTACAGAATCTTTGTCATTACAATACAGATAAGGCTATTAAAATAATTTTAGTCACACATATATTGTAAAGAACCTGCTAAGCAAACACAAAATCTGAAAGGAAAATTTCCAAAAGATTCAAGTCATGGACAGAAAAAAAAAGTTTAGCCTGAAAATGATCTTTGCCTCACCTTGGGAGTATTCAGTAATCGTGGAGAATGGATAGTGGTGGGAAACAGCAGCGACTAAATTGGTGCTGAAATTACAACCAAAGTCTTATTTGATTATGTGTCGACTTTTATCCTCAGAGCATGTTCTAGCAAATATTTCTGAAGGAGACACTAGTTTTGATAAGTTTTGCCATAGGGTTTAGAACATTCTCATTCCTTCTGTCTTTCCAAGTACCTGTATCTGATGAGGACAAATATATGATACCTTAATAAATAAAGATCAGATACAAGTAAGTAGAAAAATACAACAACAACAAAGTGCCTGTATCTGATCATCAGTCATCTCATTGATGACTTTGATGAAGCACTCCTGTACTTTATAACTTGGTCTGAATCAGAGTTCTCATCTGATGTCTTTTAGAGACCAGTTCTGTCTCTCAAGATCTAGAATAATTGCAAGTCCTGAGATAAGATACTAATCAGCTTGAATCTGGAGGACTTTGCAGAAAGAAAGGAGGTAAATGCCAGAGACACTCAAAGGATGGGTTAGGGAGGAGATATTTTAATGGGAAAATAGGAAGCCCTGGACCCACTGAACCGAGAAAGGAAGGAAGATGTCTCTAGGTCATCCCAACAGTAGTCAGTTTATACTTGCGTAAACCACACACAAGTCCTTCTTCACATTGGCCTTGATTCCGCCGCCTCAGGTTTGTAAGGTGCTCTTTCCACATCTAATCATAATATTTATTGAGTCTGATAGCCCCACCTCAGCTGTGATATTAGTTTGATCAAGAATATGAATGAGGGCCTTGGCCATTGTTGCTCAATGTTTAGAGCATCGGCCCTCGCACCAAAGGATTGAAGGGTTGTGGGTTTGATTTCTGGTCCAGGACATGTGCCTGGGTTGCAGGTTCAATCCCAGCCCAGTCTGGGTGCATGCAGGAGGCAACCAATCGATGTCTCTCTCACACATCAATGTTTCTCTCTCTCTCCTTCCCTGCCTTCTACTCTCTCTAAAAATTAATAGAAAAAAATATCCTCAGGTGAGGATTAACAACAACAACAAACAGAATATGAATGAGAAATTATTTTACAATTTCTTTTTACCCTCTCTCTTAATTCAGGAAATTTTAACCTGAGTTCCATGAGTTTGTTTCAAGGCATCTGTGATATCCCTAAATGTGTATACCAATTTTTGCAAGCTTCCCATCTATGTGCACCTTAGAACGAAAGTCTTTAAC